TAATTTAGTGATGAAGAACAAAGTGTTGCTGCGTTACTGTGTGCTGATGTTATATTCATTAGTGATCACTTGTATGGTTAGTGAGAATAGGTCATAGAAGAGTATTGTGATGCTTCAGAAGTTGTTATGTAGGTTTGTGGAGATTACTATGTTGACAGCATGTGGGATTGTAAGGTCTGTTGTTCATTGGATTGTGAAATTGTGTAAGTCAAAGAAAATTAATGTTGAAATGGAATTAGCACTATTATAGGTGTAATTTAGAGTATGTACTTACACCACCATTAGAAAATGTAACTAATACCTAAAACATATCACAAAGTAATTCTAGAGTTGAATCTCATGTGAAATACATTGAGTTGGGTAAAATTTTTACCCAAAAAATATACATATTATGAGAAAATATAATCAAAATAACTTGTTAGTCTGGTAGTCTTCATATCCTTACTTCAAAACTGTATATCTCAATAGGTTAATTGTTATCTCCAAGGTGGCAGGTGAATTTTTTGGATGGGTGTGCAGTAATGGCTCATGATGGTGACTCAAAATCTTGTAAGTTTTTTTTCTTCCACCAGTTTTGTGGTTTGTGCAAATTACCCCATTAGGCTTTTGTGAGAGCATGGCATGGGGCAAGCACAAGAAGTGACTATCCCTTGCAAGTTTCCGGGTTTTATACTTGACCAAGAGTAATTAGAACTAATTTCAATATATATATTACATAATCTTACCTTTCCAGATTTTTTTTTTTTTTTTTTTTTTTTTTTTTTTTTTTTTTTTTTTTTTTTTTTAGAATATGCTAATCCTTGAAAAATTAAGCCCCTAAACCAAGATATGTCCACACATATTAAAACAACTCATGTGTAAAGTAAAATATCCAAATTAGTCCTCAAGAATACAAAATGTAAAACAAAAGGGAACTACCAGAAGGAAAATAAAACAGGAAAAGTAAATACAATCATTAGTTTATTCTATTCAATTGTATAACACAAAAAGTGGTTCTGACTGAGATTTGTTCAGAGGACTTAAAGGACCTTATTTTGCTGGGATCCTAACAGGTCAAGATAACATTTCTCGTAATCTTTGACTGGCTCTCTCTCTTGTCATTGTCTACCCCATTTTGTTTGAATGTCAATTTATTTATTTTCTATTAAAATACGCAAATAATGAGAAGTTCATCTGCAGAAGGGAGACCTTTTTTCCCTTTGTTTCTGATTTTTACAAAATCTCAGATGAAAATCACTCATTAATTGACGACATATGTAGCTTTATGAATAGGTTTCTACATTTTATTACAAATGTTAAGGTTCATAGCAATGGTCCAATTGAAAATTGCTAAGAAGTGAAAATAATTCATAAGTATATATCAAAATGACATTAAAAATATACTTTTCCTGAAGATAATAAGTTAGATTTTTGCTGGAAAATAATATTAAAATTGCATACAAAACCATTTATTCATATATATTTAACATTATTCAAATATATTTTGTCAAGATAAGGAAGGAATGTTAAAAAGCTAAACAAAATAGATAAAAGAAAAAAAAAAAAGGAAATACAAAATCACAACAAAACATCTGAACAACAATAAGATATAAATTATATGAATCAAAAGAACCAACCTGCATATATATATATATATATATATATATATATATATATATATATATATATATATATATATATATATATATATATATATATATATATATATATATATATCTATATATATATATATCTATATATATATATATTATATATATATATATAATATATATATATATATCTATATATATATATATAGATATATATATATATATCTATATATATATATATATATAGATATATATATATATATTATATATATATATATTATATATATATATATTATATATATATATATCTATATATATATATATTATATATATATATATAGATATATATATATATATAGATATATATATATATAGATATATATATATATATAGATATATATATATATATCTATATATATATATATCTATATATATATATATCTATATATATATATATTATATATATATATATCTATATATATATATATCTATATATATATATATATATAGATATATATATATATATATCTATATATATATATATATAGATATATATATATATATATATCTATATATATATATATATAGATATATATATATATATAGATATATATATATATATCTATATATATATATATCTATATATATATATATCTATATATATATATATCTATATATATATATATCTATATATATATATATATAGATATATATATATATATATATCTATATATATATATATATCTATATATATATATATTATATATATATATATAGATATATATATATATATCTATATATATATATATATATATAGATATATATATATATAGATATATATATATATAGATATATATATATATATCTATATATATATATATAGATATATATATATATAGATATATATATATATATCTATATATATATATATAGATATATATATATATATAGATATATATATATATAATATATATATATATATCTATATATATATATATAGATATATATATATATATCTATATATATATATATCTATATATATATATATATATATAGATATATATATATATAGATATATATATATATAGATATATATATATATATCTATATATATATATATCTATATATATATATATTATATATATATATATCTATATATATATATATATCTATATATATATATATCTATATATATATATATCTATATATATATATATATCTATATATATATATATAGATATATATATATATAGATATATATATATATATCTATATATATATATATTATATATATATATATCTATATATATATATATCTATATATATATATATCTATATATATATATATAGATATATATATATATAGATATATATATATATAGATATATATATATATATATATAATATATATATATATATATCTATATATATATATATATAGATATATATATATATAGATATATATATATATATCTATATATATATATATATAGATATATATATATATAGATATATATATATATAGATATATATATATATATAGATATATATATATATAATATATATATATATAGATATATATATATATAGATATATATATATATAGATATATATATATATAGATATATATATATATATCTATATATATATATATCTATATATATATATATAATATATATATATATATCTATATATATATATATCTATATATATATATATTATATATATATATATTGATTTCAAATCAAGCATTTCTGATTGGAAAAAGCCATAACTGAAGAAAATTACATTCTCTGATTGGATTCTGACACATGATAACTATCACTGATACAGCTGTTGATACAGACCAGAAGTTACTTGTTAGATGTTCACTGGGATACACACCTTCAAAAAATACATTCTCTACCATAATTAAAAGACATTTTTTGATATTGCAAGAAAGCAAATGACTTGTAAAATTAGTCTTGTGCTTGTTGAACACACACAACAGTAATGCAATTGTCATTCAATATTCAGACCTCCAATCATAGAAATTCATATTTTCACTTGATTCAGAAAAAAAGAAAAGAAAGGAGAAGAAAAAACAAACAAACAAACATATGACCTGTACCAGGAAGAACAGAAATGTAAACAAGTCTCAGAATACTTCCATGAATTTAAGGGATATGTTAATAGTTTGTGAGAAATGCCAAGTCGTAAATAATTGTGTACATCAACTATATATTTTTCCAAAAAGAAGTAAACTCTTAAACACTAATCTACTGATGGACTTTTTTCTTACTGTTGTCTTGGTGTAGATAAATCAATGTGCTAGATAATCCTAGCATATATTAGATCACTATTATCAGACATCTTATGCTAAATAATAAGTATTTATCATCAACAGCAAAAAAAAATCTATATACCAAAAACCCTGCCATAAGTAAGTAGGAAAAGCCATGTGGGCAAAATGACAGAGATAGGGTATGTAAACATATAATATTATGAAAAAATATCACAAAATAAATGACTTGAAACTTGTTATTTTTAAAAGCTATACTACTAGGGAGTGACATTTGATGATGTAAGAAATAAAGATGCAGTCTTTGTCAGTCTGAGGTTGTGTTATGTAACTAGACACCACTCAGAGATTAACATGATCTAAAAATAATGAGGGAATGAAAAAGAAAGAACATGAAAACAATATATAAGAAAATAACAAGTATATGAATTTATAATGAGAAATGTTAAACACAGATGTAATAAAGATTCATATTGTAAATTATCATATTAGTGTGGATAAATGTAATTATACCATTCAATATAGATTCAGTTCTGATGGATATAACTTTCTGTTTCAAACAACACAGAAGCATAAATAATTATTCAGTAATGTCACTTAATGCTTCAGCTTAAAAAGAATGCTAGTCACAAGTTCTATAAGATAACTACCTCAAAACTAGTTACATTAAAGAACATACTGCCAAAATCTTTATGGACCCTAGAAATCTCAACTTTCTTCTTCTCAAACAGACGTAGTCTCAAAATACATTTCACTGATTCCTGAAACACATTTCCAATATTCTTTGACAGCTAATAGAATATGCAACTCGAGCTTGTGAACTGAAACCATCTTTTTACATCTTTCTTTTCTTTACTTTTTTTTTTTTTTTTTTTTAATTTACCTTGCCTTACATCTGTCATGCTCCTTCTTTGAACATATGTTGCTACCAATGGCAGTTGGCAGCCCACCTGTCATAACCTAGCATACAACTATGTATTTGGGCAACATATAACAAATATCACAGAAGTTCAGCTCAGAGTAGCCAATCTTGTCATTATCTCCTGGTTATGCTCTGCCGAAAGTTCTCTAGCGCCATGATGCTGCTGGACAACCTATGGATTAAGAAGGAGAATTAGCTAAAGTCATCCTTTTGAAAGATTGTAAAGCATCACTTCAAAACTTCAAGAAAATATAAAGACAGAAAGCTGTATCATGTACCTGGAAAAACGACAATATCTCTACTTACCGACCAAAGGCATTAATTAGAGCAACAATCTCAATACGAGACAGCTGGAACTTTGTGTGTCTCACTGCTGGAAGATCTAAATTTTGGTTACCTTGTGGGTCTAGATTGCCTGAGAACAGAATCTTGAGTGCTGTACCAAGGCCAGTTACCTAAAATGAGAAAGATGAAATTCTACATTGTGAAGTGTATGAACAAAGAACACTAAAAAATTCAAAGGAAAAGAGAGAGAGAGAGAGAGAGAGAGAGAGAGAGAGAGAGAGAGAGAGAGAGAGAGAGAGAGAGAGAGAGAGAGAGAGAGAGAGAGAGAGAGAGAGAGAGAGAGAGAGAGAGAGAGAGAGAGAGAGAGAGAGAGAGAGAGAGAGAGAGAGAGAGAGAGAGAGAGAGAGAGAGAGAGAGAGAGAGAGAGAGAGAGAGAGAGAGAGAGAGAGAGAGAGAGAGAGAGAGAGAGAGAGAGAGAGAGAGAGAGAGAGAGAGAGAGAGAGAGAGAGAGAGAGAGAGAGAGAGAGAGAGAGAGAGAGAGAGAGAGAGAGAGAGAGAGAGAGAGAGAGAGAGAGAGAGAGAGAGAGAGAGAGAGAGAGAGAGAGAGAGAGAGAGAGAGAGAGAGAGAGAGAGAGAGAGAGAGAGAGAGAGAGAGAGAGAGAGAGAGAGAGAGAGAGAGAGAGAGAGAGAGAGAGAGAGAGAGAGAGAGAGAGAGAGAGAGAGAGAGAGAGAGAGAGAGAGAGAGAGAGAGAGAGAGAGAGAGAGAGAGAGAGAGAGAGAGAGAGAGAGAGAGAGAGAGAGAGAGAGAGAGAGAGAGAGAGAGAGAGAGAGAGAGAGAGAGAGAGAGAGAGAGAGAGAGAGAGAGAGAGAGAGAGAGAGAGAGAGAGAGAGAGAGAGAGAGAGAGAGAGAGAGAGAGAGAGAGAGAGAGAGAGAGAGAGAGAGAGAGAGAGAGAGAGAGAGAGAGAGAGAGAGAGAGAGAGAGAGAGAGAGAGAGAGAGAGAGAGAGACTACACTATATAAGAAAATAACAAGTATATGAATTTATAATGAGAAATGTTAAACACAGATGTAATAAAGATTCATATTGTAAATTATCATATTAGCGTGGATAAATGTAATTATACCATTCAATATAGATTCAGTTCTGATGGATATAACTTTCTGTTTCAAACAACACAGAAGCATAAATAATTATTCAGTAATGTCACTTAATGCTTCAGCTTAAAAAGAATGCTAGTCACAAGTTCTATAAGATAACTACCTCAAAACTAGTTACATTAAAGAACATACTGCCAAAATCTTTATGGACCCTAGAAATCTCAACTTTCTTCTTCTCAAACAGACGTAGTCTCAAAATACATTTCACTGATTCCTGAAACACATTTCCAATATTCTTTGACAGCTAATAAAATATGCAACTCGAGCTTGTGAACTGAAACCATCTTTTTCCATCTTTCTTTTTTTTACTTTTTTTCTTTTTTTTTAATTTACCTTGCCTTACATCTGTCATGCTCCTTCTTTGAACATATGTTGCTACCAATGGCAGTTGGCAGCCCACCTGTCATAACCTAGCATACAACTATGTATTTGGGCAACATATAACAAATATCACAGAAGTTCAGCTCAGAGTAGCCAATCTTGTCATTATCTCCTGGTTATGCTCTGCCGAAAGTTCTCTAGCGCCATGATGCTGCTGGACAACCTATGGATTATGAAGGAGAATTAGCTAAAGTCATCCTTTTGAAAGATTGTAAAGCATCACTTCAAAACTTCAAGAAAATATAAAGACAGAAAGCTGTATCATGTACCTGGAAAAACTACAATATCTCTACTTACCGACCAAAGGCATTAATTAGAGCAACAATCTCAATACGAGACAGCTGGAACTTTGTGTGTCTCACTGCTGGAAGATCTAAATTTTGGTTACCTTGTGGGTCTAGATTGCCATGAGAACAGAATCTTGAGTGCTGTACCAAGGCCAGTTACCTAAAATGAGAAAGATGAAATTCTACATTGTGAAGTGTATGAACAAAGAACACTAAAAAATTCAAAGGAAAAGAGAGAGAGAGAGAGAGAGAGAGAGAGAGAGAGAGAGAGAGAGAGAGAGAGAGAAAGACAAACAGAGAAGTAATCAATCTAATTGAATCACAAAAGTTACCTGCAGCTTGCCCCAAAGACGGCACTTGTCACATCCAACGCAGTCCATAATACGAGACACATTCCAAAAGTGTTGCCGAAATTCCTCTTTCAACTTCGCAGCTTGCTGGCCGCCAGAGAACATGGAGCTTTCATCAAAGTGCTCTGGGAAACTCCTGTAAAATAACGGTTACAACTATCAGACCACGATCATGTACCACTGGCAATATTCAATCTGCCTAAGTAAATTAAATGACAGCAGTGTGTGGATGATAGACAATATTATATATGAAGACCGCTGTATCACAGCAGTAATTTCTTGATAAAGTTTTGTTCCTGCCTCACTATGCCAGCATACAAAAATAATCACCAAAGTTCCTGTTATTATCATCTTTCATATAAAATTCTGACAGTCTCTCTTCCTTTTACTAAGATCCAGTCCCAGGAAGTGATTGTAAACCTTGTTCTGAAACAAGGACCAAAACTGTGAAGTGTCAAAATCGTTAAACCTGTTACTGGGATCTGTTTCTGCAGAAATGCAAACAATTACAAGTTCTTCAAACAATCTTATGGAGTGATGTCTTAGCACCTCTTGTCATATTTTGAATAACCAAAAAATTTAGTCATGTAAGGTGCATTCCTCTTCACAATGTGTAAAGAAAGAAAGAAAGAAAGAAAAAAAGAAAAAATCTCAAAAACAGTACATACTTGACAACAGTCAATAAGTCTTTCACTGCCTTCGATACATCATTATCTTCACTTTCATTTCCTGTGTAGTATTCTAAGCTTTCAAGATATGGTGCAGCTTTAGCTAAAGCTTTTAGTTCTGAAATAAAAAAAAAAGAAACATATAGTACATGTGCACATGTACTACACTATACTCTTGCAACATAATATATGCAGTTTTTCATCATACTGCATCTCAAGTGCAAACAAATATAAATAAAGTCCAAAATACCCACCAAGAAGGTATACAAAGTAGAGGTTCTTCAGGCGGTGTGGTCCCTCTCCGCCGGTTAGTTCTGGGTCGAACCTTGTCTGGAATTCCTGTACATTCGGACCCCACTGGCCATCCTTTGACATTTCAAAGCCATTCTTGTCTGAGAAGAAATCCATTAAAACATTAATACTGTCTTGAAAAGAAACTCCCACTGATCCAGATATAGCAATTAAATCATTTAATCCTTTGATAATATGGTATAATTTTTTGTATCTGCACCTTGTAATTCAAAATACAATAAAAAGGATAATCAGAAAATACTATTTGACTAGTGAAGGATAAATCTGATTCAGAAAAAAAATAATATAAATAAATAAATAAATTACCTGACAGGAGGTAGTTAGCACTCAGGTGAATGTTGATACTGGTATGGAGGCCGGAAATAGCTCTGTAAAATGTTCTTTTTTCCAAGCACATTTCTGCAATCATACCATCATTAAATGTAGTAAAGCCGAGTCAAATTTACGAAAAATAATACTGAAATGAAGATTCTAGCTGTTTTATTAATTTGCATACCAAGTGATTTAATACTACTTAAAAAAATGTTCAACACGAAACAAAAGTGAACCACTTCGGTGAATTGAAAACAATATTACAAAACAGCACCCAACTCTTGGCACATCTCCAGGAAATTAAAAACAATCCATATGAACTTCAAAATGTGGAACCTTTTAGAGCATGCACTACATCTAATGATGAAAAGATAATTTAATGACTATCTTTATGCCTTGTATGAACTACAATACTCTAAACTTGCCAAAAAAAAATGGCCAAAAAATCAATATTATAATATACTGGGACTTCTTACAGCAGAAGATTACAAAATATAAAATTGACTTCAAATGAGGCATGCACAGTTATGCTATGGTGTAAGTAAATCTTGGTATGTATAAATGAGAGAAAGAAAGAAAGGAGAGGGAGAACACACAAAGTGAAAGAGGGAGAGAAAAGAAAAAAGAGAGAAGGAGAGAGAAAAAGAGAATTAGAGAGAGACAGAGAGTGATTGGGTCAGAGAGAGGGAGAAAAAGATATGACTGTGAGTGAGAGATAGAGAGAGAGAGAGAGAGAGAGAGAGAGAGAGAGAGAGAGAGAGAGAGAGAGAGAGAGAGAGAATGAGTGAGTGAGTGAGTGAGTGAGTGAGTGAGTGAGTGAGTGAGTGAGTGAGTGAGTGAGTGAGTGAGTGAGTGTGTGTGTATGTGTGTGTGTGTGTATGTGTGTGTGTGTGTGTATGTGTGTGTGTGTGTATATGTGTGTGTGTGTGTGTGTATGTGTATGTGTGTGTGTATGTGTGTGTGTACTTGTAGCAACTAAGAGCTGCAAATACATACTAATACTACAATGAACCACTTCTCAGACTCATGTCCCATGCTTGAGTCATGCGACAGTCACATGTAACTACATTCCACCACCTTATCTATTACAGCATTGATTCTGAAGCCCCTGAAGTACCTTAAAAAGTCAGCTTAGCCATTCTGTATACTAAGAGTCCAAGCAATACTTTAACCCTGTGCCACCGGGAAAATGTAGTATTCAGTGTAGTACTGTTCTGTGAAATGTCAATTAATCAACCTCATGACTTCACCTGACTACTTTTTTTTCTACCAATGCTGTTATCATAATAGAGACTGATATTTATATTACTAACAGCAATTCATGATAAAAGAATGAAATTTCAAAAATCAAGAAAAAGGGTGAACAGGTGAGATAGGTGATTAAGTAGCTGTGGAGCCATGTATGTGTAGAGAAAATTAATAAACTAAACTCACAATGACTCACAGTGTTCATGGCATGTGCATACTTGCCATGCCCGGTGGCATCAGGTAAAGAGCTAAATACATCATGTGGCTAACAAGTTCCAGATGACATTCTATCCCTTTTATTGCAAATACTTAAAGAGGATATCAATGCCATTACCTATGCTGCATTATGTACTCCCATAAAAAAAGAAAAAAGAAAAAAATAAAGAGAGAGAGAGAGAGAGAAAAAAATCTAAAACAAAAATGGACTATAAGAGCCAAGTGCCTGCACACTGCACACACACACATATATAGAAAGATGCAGACATACACACTCACACATGTAGACAGACTCAGACACACACACATGTAGACAGACAGAAACACACAGACAGAAACACACACACACACACACACACACACACACACACACACACACACACACACACACACACACACACACACACACACACACACACACACACCTAGACAGACAAACAGACAGAAAGACAGACACAAACACATACAGGCACATTAAATTAATTACTATCTACATAAACCATACAAAACTCACATACAATCCAATCCAGACAGACAGACACAAACACATACACGCAGGCACATAACAAAATGAATCACCGTCTACATAAACCATAAAAAACTTGTATACAATCCAGCTCACCTTACAGCTTTAATTTTATACCAGTTATTCCGACACTAGCAGTCACTGCAAAATATTTCACAAATACTCTAATCACCATTATCTACTACTGCCATTACTCATCGGTCTCTAACGTCCACATTCTGGAAGATCACTGGAAGGTCTGTTCCTTCTTACAAATCCAAATGTTCAACAAAACCTTGTCAAAAGGAATCTTACAACTTCCTTCTTCCTTCTATGACAACTTTAAACTCAAAGGACAGAGTGTATACATTTTTCCATGCATAAAAACTGTCTTCAGTCAACTCATCCATTTGTATCTCACAAAGCCTGTCACATAAAACACCATTGGGCAACAACACATGTACACACACAGCCATAGGCATGCACACAAACATACATGCATACACACACAAACAGCAGAGAAAATGCAGCATAAACTAACACTTCTTTTGGCTTCAATGGTTTGCAAACTCAAAATATAATGCTTGCTTGCCTGTTCTCTTCCAAGCTATCTCTTCTCAACAAAATAAGAACAAGAACCTTGTTTGCCAACTGAACGAGTGTAAAGGAAAAACAAGGAAAAACACCACCACCTACGGGACGCTCTCTTACCTTTCAGAAAATCATTGGCTGTTTTTTACATAAGAGAAGGGAAGAGAGAGGGAAATGCAAATGAGAAATGGAATCAATCAATGTATTTCATTTAGATTTGAATATTCAAGTCTGAGTATATCATTGCAACAAGGCCTAAAATCCAAACACTAATACAGAATCATCTATAGAATGTCTATAAAAAATGAGGCAGTAAGACAAGCTGATTCAACCAATATATTGATTCACTATTAAGGATTAGCACATTCTTGCAATGGGACTCAACATGGGAATTTTATGAAAATTGGGAAAGTGTAAATAAAATCAAAACACTCTTAGTGAATAAATAAAGAAAAAATGAAATAAGATTGCTGCACATCATATTAGTATGATCATTATCTTTAACAAACACTGATGCATTCATAACGTGGTTTTAACCCAATGGTGATGGGATGGCAAGAATACATGCCATTTCCATTGTTTCTTTTTGTTAATTGATTGTCTTTATACCTAGATGGCTCCGAAGGTGCTTAATAACCTAGGAGTCAATTACTAATATTCTGCATTGCACTTGTTTACCCTTTCCCTTAATTTCTGGAAATATTATTTTTTGTTTTTTATAGCTATTAATACTGCCAATATCATAATTATTGTAACATCAACAATAATACATAATGACTTCAGTATTAATAAAATTAGAAAAAAAAAAAAAAAATCTTACTCCCAAAAACTCAATGAAAGGGCAAACCAGCAGAAAACATTGTAGGCTTACTAATTGCCTTCTTGGTAGCTGAGCACTTGTAAAGCCATCTATGTGCAAACAAATTTCACAAAAGAAAACGACAGTAGACAGCGTGATTACCGATCACCAATGGGTTAACCATAAATTAACAATCTTGGAAAAATCAACTTTAGCTGATTCCTTTTACAATGTTAGAGGGACAAATTATAATCATTATCATTTAACAAACAATTACCATTTACAATATCTATATTATATCAAAGCCTTTTCTTTATCAACCTCTAAAGCACAATTCAACCCATTACAACAACTTACCTCCAATACTACTGAAGTCTGTGTAACGGCCAATTGCCCTAGACGGCCTGTGGATATACAATTACCTTTAATATGTAAAAAAAAACTAAGCCAAAAACACTAACATCAAGAAATAAAAAACAGAAGAATCTATTCAATACAGAGATAAAATATGAGTGAGTGTCTGAGTGAAAAGAAAATATGTAACTACTTGGCTTAGACAGCATCAATCACAGAATAATCATGTGGGTAACAAATTCTTACTTAAAGCAGTTTTCTTGGTATATTGTTCTCCATATTCTATGTGCTGAAGGTCCTGCATAACCTGTGTACCGCTCAGGATTCAGCAACAGGTCAACATATTCACTATCCTCAGAACTGTCGTCATCAATTTTGCAAAAGTTCAGCTGTGCATCATCGTGGGCTGCCCAGCGTTTAAAGCCGACTTTGGATTCCTTGCTGAAATTAGTGCAGGTTCAATTAGAATCAATAATTCATAAGAATATGAAAATATCATGACTCCTAACCAAAAACATCCTTTCCATAAATGATGAATATGAAAACAATGATAATAACAATAATAACAATCATAATAATGTTAATTTTAACAATAATAATAACGATAACAACAATGATAGTGTGACTCATAATAAAATTAAATAATGATAATAATGATGATGTTAATAATACACTAAGAAAAGAAAAGAGAGAGAGAAAAAAAAAATCAATAAAATAAAAAACACAAAGAGGAAGTACTCATAAAACGAAAAAGAATCTGGGCCACACATCTCACCTGAGAGTAGTATTCAGGTATCCCAGGTCATTCTCATCATCACAATGGCCAGTCACCATGTGGGACTTTTCCTTCTTTTCCTTCTCAATTTTGTCTAAGGAAGCTCCCTTTATGCCCTCTGGGACCTGCCACAATAAGATGCACTCGTTATTCTTATTCTTGGATTGCTTTTGCAAAAGTATCTGCTCCTGATAGTTTTTGATATCTATAAAAAAAAATCTATAACATCATCATAAAATCAAAAACATTTGTGGAAACATGAAGGATGAAAGGCAGGGTAAGAAAAAGAGACAGAAAGTAGGGAACAAAAACAGAGAAAGAACATAATTTCAAACACTGAAAATCTGGTTTAAAGTAAGCATAATACTGTGTTGAGAGGCACACTGCTTTATCCTATGAAAGGAATCTGTTTTGGGCTGTCCACTTACAGTCACAATATGTACAATATACAGCTCAAACCAACCACCTTCTGTCATGAAAATACATGCTGTAGAATGAAATCCTGACTACTGACATTGATAAACTGTTAATGTATATGATAAACCACAGAAAAGAACCTATCATATCAACAAATTAGGATATAAGATCTTTCATAGTGCAAATTATTTCCATGTGCTAAGTGATTTTCGAAATCATGTGCAAAAGTAGTTCATATTTATCAAGAGGGAATGTTTCATGAAACTTTTAAAGCAAACCCTCCAAGCGTTACATATTTTACAATTCCTTCTGGCATTTTTATGGTGCAATATTTAAAAGAATTCTCTCTCTCTCTCTCTCTCTCTCTCTCTCTCACCCATCTGACCACTCACTCACTCACTTACCCACCCACCCACCTGCCCACTCACCACCCATTTGCCCAATCACTCACCCATCCATCCATCTGCCCACTCACTCACCTACTCACTCACCTGCCTGCTCATTCACTCATTCAACCACTCTACCACCCACCCAGCCACTCTCTCATCCACTCCCCCTCTCCCAATATGTATCATCAACAAAAAAAAAACCCTGCAAGCCAATCACTGATGCTAAAAATTCACGGCAAAGAAGCAAGGAAGAGTAGGCAAATGCATCACTCTGTTGAACTCTATTCAAGAATCAAGCTGATAATTTTCAGCACTGAGCACAGAGATGCACAGCTTTAGAATGCTTGTACAGACATACATATTATCAAGAAGTTCAACAAAGTAACACCATGCCATATTAACAGAGAGATTTCCAAAAATCAATCCTGGCTAAGGAAGTCTTTTGAAAGCATGATTCCTTCAGAGTGCACTGCTGAAATAAAAAGTGTGGGAACAGAAATGTATTGTGAAACACAAAAACAAAAACAAAAAAAATCAATCAATCCCTGTGGTGGTCCAACCAGTCACGACTTTAACCATGGGCACTATTAACCTTCTTGTCTGAACTGGCACGATTGCTTGCATCTGATTCCCCTACATTACTTTCTTCACCCTGTGAGCCGTTTTCCGAGTCTTCTTGCTAACGCATAAAGAAAGTGAGGCATGAGTTCAGCTGGGTAGCAGGATATGTTGCTGGGATGGATTGGGCTGGGTTGGGATAAGATGGATAAGGATGGGATGGGAAAAGAAAAGAAAAAAAGAAAAAATTAAAGAAAAGAAATGTATAACAATGAAAAGAAAGAAAAAAGAAAACAAAAAAGAAAGAAAGAAAGAAAAAAAAAAAGGGGGGGGGAGACAGACTATGGGAAAGGTCAGATGCACATGATCAATGAACAATATCACAACAAACTCAAGCCCAGTCTTTGTTTGCTTTGTGATCAATATATGAGAGGGAAAATATTCTCCCTCTCCCTCAAAGGACTAAATTGATAAACAAATGTATAATTAACTAAATATACAAACATACATACATACACATGTGTATGTATGTATGTATGTGTGTGCGTGTGTGTGTGTGTGTGTGTTTGTTTGTGTGTTTGTGTGTTTGTGTGTGTGTGTGT